GGCCAAGTGCAAGGTCCTGCATCTCTGTTAGGGCAATCCCAAGCACCAATCTAGACTGGGCAGTGACTGGCTTGAGAGCAGCCTTGAAGAAAAGGATTGGGGGTACTGCTGGATGAGAAGCTCAACATGAGCTGTCAGTGTGCACTTCCAGCCCAGAAAGCCAGTCATATCCTGGGCTACATCAAGAGAGGCATGGCCAGCAGGTCAAAGGAGGTGATTCTCCCCCTCTACTCCACTCTCATGAGACCCCACCTGGAGCACTGCATCCAGTTCTGGAGCCCCTATTACAAGAAAGATATGGACATGCTGGACCATGTCCAGAGAAGGGCCATGAGGATGATGAGGGAGCTAGAGCACTTCTCCTATGAAGACAAACTGAGACAGTTTGGGTTATTCAGTCTGGAGAAGAGAAGGCTCCAAGGAGACCTTACTTAAGATACCTCCAGTATCTTAAGGAGGCTTACAAGAAAGCTGGTGAGGGACTTTTTAGGATGTCAAGTAGTGGTAGGACTAGGGAGAATGGAGCAAAACTAGAGGTGGGTAGATTCATGTTAGATGTTAGGAAGAAGTTCTTCACCATGAGGGTGGTGAGACACTGGAGCAGGTTGCCCAGAGAGGTGGTGGGGCTGCCTGCCTTCCTGCCTGCCTTTCTGCATTCTTGCCTTCCTGCCTGCCTGCTGTTCTGTCTTCCTGCCTGCCTGCTGTTCTGTCTTTCTGCCTTTCTGCCTGCCATCCTGCCTTCCCGCCTGCCTTCCCGCCTTCCTGCCTGCCTGCCTGCCTTCCTTTCTTCCTACCCTCATCCCCAAGGGGGAACCTCTGTGTACAGAAAGTACCTCAGAATCCCAGGGAGAAGCCCACGGAGAAGGAGCAGCATCTTCCTCTTCCTCTGCTCCTACAGACCAGGTCAGAAGTGAGAAATTGAATGTTTTTCTTCCCCTTTGCTGTTCCCCAGAAGTCAAGCCCTGCATCCGAAAGCTGTGCAGTGGTTCTACTGCTGACAGACAAACTCAGACCTGAGTGGTTCAAGGGTTTCTTCACACCCAGCCCCACCAGAGCATTTCCCTCACTTTTCTCCCTCCTCTGGCCTCCTCCCAGCAGAAGATGACTGTACACAACAGCTGGGACAGCTCTGAGCACCACCCAACACATGCCGGGGAACATGCAGAAGCTGCAGTCCTGTGGTGCACACAGTTGTGGTCACCTGCTCATGAGCCCACAGCTCCACAACTTGTCCTTTGCCAATGTCCCATGGACAGGAAGTGCCGGAGAAACACTCTCCAAAACATCCTCACACTGACCTCACGGGCATCAGGAGATGAGGCTCCATTCCCAGTGCTCCCAGCAATGATATTCTTTGACACTGAGCTGTTCCCCTGCACAGCAGAGAGTCCTGGGAGTTCCTGGAGTGTCTGGAAGACAAATTCCTGACACAGCTGCTGAGGCAGCCAACTAGGGATAGTGCCCTGCTGGACCTGCTGCTTGTCGACAGAGAAGGTCTTGTGGGGGATGTGAAGGTTAGAGGTTGTCTGTGGTAGAGTGATCACAAATGACAGAGTTCTCCATTTTTGGAGAAGCAGGGGGGAGCCAGCAGAACTGCCACTTTGGATTTCCCAAGGACAGACTTGGACCTGTTTTGGAGCATGGTTGAGAGTGTCCCTTGGGACACAGTCCCTAAAGGCAAAGGAGCCAGGAAGGCTGGTCATCCTTCAAGGAGGAACTCTGAAAGGCACAGGAGAATGCCATCCCCAGGTCCCAAAAAGACAAGCTGAGGGGGAGGAAGAGCAGCCTGGCTGAACAGAGAGCTTTGGCTAGAGCTCAGGAACAAAAGGAAAGTTGATGGCCTTTGGAAAAGTGGTTTGGCAACCTCTGAGGAACACCAAGATGTAGTGGAGCTCTGCAGGGGGAAAAGCAGAAGAGCCAAGGCTCCAGCAGAACATAACTTGGCCACTGTGGGTAAGGAGAACAAGAAGAGTTTTTTTCAGGATACGAGCAGAAAAAGGAACACCAGGGGCAATGTTGGCCTGCTGATGTGTGAGGTGGGCACCCTAGTGGTGGGAGGCACAGAGAAGTTGGACTTACTGATGCCTTCATTGCTTCAATCTTCAATGCTAAAGCTGTCCCATGTGAATCCCAGAGCCTGGAGGCAAGGGGGAAGGTCTGGAGAGAGGAAGACTTTCCCTCAGTAGAAAAGGACTGGGTTAGAGACCACTTGGCCATGGGCAGGAACACCTCACTCTCGATCAGGTTGCTCAGAGCCCCATCCAACCTGCCCTTGAACACTTCCAGGGATGGGACTTCTGCTTGTACCTCCTTGAAAATGAGGAGAGGTTTGGGGATTTGGGGAGTCCTATTCTGGTTAAAAGAGTCCTGGGGTAGAGGTGTCCCAGAGTAGAGGTGTCCTGGAGTAAAGGTGTCCCAGGGGAGATGTGTCCAGGGGAGTGGTGTCCTAAGCCCATCTGAAGAATGTGTCACTAGTGAGGAAAAATGCCTTTAGGTGAAGTGCAGGGAGGCCTTGGGAGAGGCTGCCGAAGGAGGGGTGGAGGTGCCATCCCTAGAGGGGCTCAAGAAGCCTTTAGATCTGGTGCTTCAGGAGAGAGTTTTGTGGTTGTGGTGGTTGGATGATGGTGGGACTCAATGCTCTTGAAGGTCTTTTCCAACCTTAATGATTCTCTGATTCTATCAGGAGTGTTTTTAAGGAACAAGAGGAGTGATCCCAGCTCTTGGAAATCATGACTTGGAAGCTGCCAAGTCCTTATGCTCAGCACAGGCTTTTTCTGTTCACTTTCCAGTTCAGACTGAACTGGGAAACCTTCCTGCTCACAAAACCCTGCGGAGAAGGGTTTGCAGTGACCTGAAATAACCCCAGAGCTAAGTGCCCCATGTCCTGCACACACTTGGGCTGAAGTATCCTTGCACTATAATATCTATGATAGCTGGACTGGATCTATTGATATCTATTGATAGCACTATTTATATCAATTTCTATCTATTTGTCTATATTTCTCTATCTAAAGCCTATTCCCTGCTGTCAGACACAAAGTTCTTCCCTGTCACTTTGTTGTTGCCCAGGTGGCTTATTTTTTGCACACCCCCACATGAACTATCAGATGGATATTTTTCTGGAGTTCATGCCCTGTGTTTAATTCCAGAGCCTCTGTTGGAACTTGTTCTTTAATATACTTTCTCCTCTTGTCCATGTCTGTGTTTTATTGTTCCCTCCCCCATTGCTTTGCTCTCCTCCCTTCCCCATGAACCTCTCCCTCCAACTCAAACCATTCCAGGATTCCATGATTCACCCCTGCAAAGGGGGGTGGGTGCAGGGACCCCTTCCATTTGGGGCATGGGTGCACAGGGACCGCCCTGCAAAAAGGGGTGGGTGTAGGGACCTCCGGGCAGTGGGGGTGGGTGTCTAGGGACCCCCCAGCAATGGGGCTGGGTGTGCAGGGATCCCCCTAGCAATGGGGTTGATGCAGGGATCCCCTAGCAATGGGGGGGGATCTGCAGGGACCCCCAGGCAGTGGGGATGGGGGTGCATCGTTTTTGGGAGATCATTGTGGCTTAAGGTTCTTCTTGTGCTTCTGGTGGTCAGCTCCCTTTGTCGAAAAGGGCCTGAGGGGGTTGAAGTCCCTTCAAAATCTGTGTAAGGGGTTAAAAACCCTTTTAAAAAGTGTTCAGTGGGTTGGAAGCCCCTTTGAAAAGTGTTTCAGGGGGTTGCAGCCTCTTGAATGGTGTTCAAGGGGGTTGAAGCCCCCTCAAAAAAAAGTGTTTGAGGGCTTTCAAGCCCCTCCAAAAAGTGTTTCTGTGGTTTAAAGTTTTCTGTGATTTGCTCTTTTCCAGTGAGAATCCAAAGCTTGTTCTCCGAACACAGACACATTTATTTCTTCCCGGCCATTTCTGTCCCTCCCCTGGTGCTGCTGCTCCATTGGAAGGGAATATCGAAGTGTCAAACTCCAAGAAATGCTCCAACCTGCACAACGAGTTGTGTCTTCCAGGGGGTTAAACCCATCTCAGGGAATTCCTCCTGGTGGGGCCTGGAATTCCCGGGAAAACTGGGAGTGCAGGGGGGTGGGAAAGGGTTTTCTTCTCCAAGGCGGGAGCTGGGCTTGGGTGGGTGATTCCAACCCCTCCTTTACACCCTGAAAGTGCTTAAAAAAAAGAATTCCCAGTTCTCCCTTTCCAACATGGAATCCCAGACTGCTTTGGGTTGGAGGGACCTTAAAGATCTTCTAGATCCAACCCCCTGCATGGGCAGGGACACCTCCCACCAGCCCAGGCTGCTCCAAGCCCCATCCAACCTGCCCTTCAACACTTCCAGGGGTGGGGCAGCCACAGCTTCGATCTCCCAGGGTCTCCCCACCCTCCCATTCAAGGGTCCTTTCCTGGTGTCAGCAGAAGGTTGGACTGACGTGAAGGTTTGTGAGGGTTTTGAAGTTGGAAGGAGCAGGACAAGGAGCTTGTGCCACCTAGGTAGGCACCTGCCTGTAATTAAAGCATTGTTATTTAAATTAAAGCATTAATTGTAGTTATTTAAATAGTAACTAAGAGCAATTTAAAGTGGCCAGAGGAGGCCAAGGAGGTGACCCAAGGGCTGGAGCAGCTCTGGAGGTGTGGGTGGATGGGGTGCTCAGCCTTGTTGGCACACACATCCCCAGCCCGATGGCCCAGGATGCTCCAGGGGCAGCCACAGCTCAGGAATTCCACCCCCCTGAGGCCACGGTTTGCTTTAGGCTGCTCGGGGTTGGGGGCTAAAGAAACAAAGTTAATCCCCCTGGGAGAGGCAGGAGAGCAGCACAAGCCTCCGGGAGGTGTCAGCAGGAGGAGGAGAAATCCCTTCCCCACTCCTGTTGTCCATGTGGAAGAGCTGGAAGAGTGAAGCCGCCTCTCCCGGGTTGGGGGCTCAGCCTCCGGAGCAGGAGGGGGGGAATCGCCTCTTCCCGATTCTTATCCACTCCAAGCTGAAATTTCCTGGCGTGGGAAGGCTGGGAAGGGCCCCGGGCCCCTCACTCCTTGGCCCGGAGGTAGTTGAGGGACAGCAGGACCAGGCTGTTGGCCAGCAGGGAGACTTCAGAGGCTGGGAAAGGAGAGGAGGCTGGGAGAGGCAGTGCCAGGGAATGGTGACCCCAAGAGCCAATACTCCCTGTGCTCAGAGGGGAATAAAGCTACAGTTTGTCCCCAGTGTCCCCAGAACTGACATTCCCCCGTTCCCATTTTCCTTCCCCCAGGGCTGGAATCCACCACCACGAGGGCCCTGTGGGACAGGGACACCCAGACAGGACATGTTCCTTGTGGGGGTCCCATGGGGCCCTGCAGAGAGGTGCCCTGTCACCACCTCCCTGGTGGGACAAGGCCTCAGGACACAGGCCATAGGCTAGGGGATAAAGCCATAGTTTGTCTCCAGCACTGATGTTTCCAGTGCCCAGAGGGGGATGGGGATAAAGCCACCAGTGTCCCCAGTGTACCCATAGCCAACATTCTGTGTGCCCAGAGGGGGATAAAGCCACAGTTTCTCCCCAGTGTCCACAGAACCAATGTTCCCTGTGCCCAGACACACTCAGGATGTTACTAGCCCCCCTCCCCCTGGCCCCCCATGTGTCCCTGGGCCACCATGTCACCTTGGAGGCTGCAGGACAGCCCCAGCCACTGCTGCAGCCACACCCGGCACTCGGCCGGGCCCAGGTGAGTGGAGTTCAGGCCACGGAGGTAACAAGCCTGAGGAGCAGGAGAGGGACAAAAAGAGGAACACGTTCAGGGATGGGTCACAGGAAACTCAGGGAACAGAGATGTCACCTGTCCTCGGTGGGATGGGGGGCTGGGCAATGGCACTGTGTTATTTAGGGGGGACAGAAAATGCTTTCCCAGACAAAAAGGGCCTATTCTGTGATAAAGGCACCATCTCGGGGGAAAGGGGCTGTCCCGGGGGCGGGACTCGGTCCCGGGCACAGGGTCCCTCACCGCCCGCAGCTCCTCCTCGGAGAGCTGGCCCAGCCCGAGCCGCAGCAGCGCCCGGTCCAGGTGCCCGATCTCCAGGACGTGGCTCCGCAGGCGCCGCCGCAGGAGAAACGCCGGGAGGTGCGTGGTGAGGAACAGGACCCGGCTCAGGGCTCGCTGCGGGAATAAGGGGACCAGGGCATGGTCAGCGACAGACGGGGTCTCCCCAGAACGTGCCTGTTTCCCCCACCCCCCTCCCGGGGGCACTGCCACATCGAGCCAGGGACCAGCAGCACGGCTGGACGACCATCCTCCCGGGATTCGGGAAGGGCCATCCCGGAGCTGCCGGCAGGAGGGGACACCTCACTCACCACGTGGGACACCTGGAGCTTGTTCAGAGCCAGCGAAGATCCCGAAAACAAACTCCGGAGGGCGCAGAGCTCGGCCACGCACGGCTGAGAACCTCTCAGCACCTGCAGGGGCCACCAGGGAGCTGCTGTCCCCTGCCAGGCACAGCAGGAGGTGACACGGGTACAGCTAGGACGGGTGACAGTGACAAACCTCGGCGCAGAGCTCCTGCAGGCGCTGTCCCAGCCGCCGCTCCGGAAGGGAACGAGCTGCCAGTGCCAAACTCTGCACCACATCCAGGTAGGAATCTCTCCGGATGGAGTCATAAGTCTCCAGGAATTCCACCTGCTGGGCAGGGGTCCAGAAGTAGCGGATCAGGAGCTGGCGTGGGAAGAAATACCTTGGAGAAAAGAGGAGACAGGGATTGAGGGAGGGAAAGTGAAGGGATAGGCTGGGTGGATTTGGAGCTGCTGGGAATTGGTGTGAGGAACGTCCTACTGGAGACCCAGGAGTTGGGGAGGGTCCCTCCTCCAAAGGAGGATCAAAGTAGTGACCGTTGGGAAAGACCTTGAGGATCATTGAGTCCAGCCATCAACCCAGCCCTGCCAAGGCCACCCCTGCCCTGTGTCCCTCAGCACCATCTCCAGGGCTTGGAAACCCCTCCAGGGATGGGGACCCCACCCCTGCCTGGGCAGCCTGGGCCAGGGCCTGACAACCCTTGACAGGGAGAAACTGTTCCCAAGATCCAACCTCAACCTCCCCTGGGCAACTTGAGGCGGTTCCTCTGGTCCCATCCCGTTCCTGGGGAGCAGAGCCCGACCCCCCCGGCTCCAACCTCCTCTCAGCAGCTGCAGAGCCAGAAGGTCTCCCCTCAGCTCCTTTGCTCCAGGCTGGACAGACACCCCCAGCTCCCTCAGCTGCTCCTCACAACTTCTCCAGACCCTTCTCCTTGTGCTCCAGCCCCTTCCCCAGCTCTGTGTCCCTTTTCTGGACATACTCCAGCCCTTCAGTGTCCCTTTTGTGCCCCAAAACTGACCTCAGGATTTGAGATGTCCTTTCACGAGTGCCAGCTCAGTGCCCTGCTCTGGTCCTGCTGGGCACCCCAGTGTGACTCAAGCCAGGATGCTGGTGGCCTCCTTGGCCACCTGGGCACTCACTGGCTCATCTCCAGCCCCTCTCAGCCAACCCCCTCAGGGCCTTTTCCCCCAGGCACTTCCCAGCTGCTTTGCCCCAAGCCTGGAGCATTCCCTGGGGTCCCTGTGTCCCTTTCCTTCCTGTCACCTTGTCCCAGGAGGAGATCTGGGGAGCTTGGGAACAACTCCAGCCGATGGGATCAGGGCCGTGCCCAGCTGGAGCTCACCAGAGCCTGAAGTGATGGGATGAGGTGTAATGGTTTAAACTGGGACTGGGGAGATGGAGGCTGGATGTGAGGAGGAAATTCTTCCCTTTGAGGGTGGGGAGACCCAGGGACAGGGAAGTTGTGGCTGCCCCATCCCTGGAAGTGTCCAGGGCAGGCTGGATGGGGCTTGGAGCAGCCTGGGCTCGTGGGAGGTGTCCCCCCTGCAGGGGGGTGGGACTGGAGGATCTTTGAAGTCCCTCCCACCCAAACCAGTCTGGGATCCTGGGATTCTCTCCCCGGGTTCCCCAGGGAGTCTTTGTGGCAGCCAGAGATGGATGGAGGGAGAATGTTGGGCTGGGATGGAAACTCTCAAGAACAACACCCCAGTTCCATGGAACTGAAGGCACAGCCAGGCTGGTCCTCACATCAGGACGATGACCAGGAAGTTGGCGAAGGGCGGGATGGCCAGAACCCCGATGGGAAGAGCCTTGAGCACGTCCCGGCGGAACTGCCTCAGGAAGGAGGGAAAGGATCAGGATCTGGGGCCAAACTCCTGGAATTCCCTCAAAATAGAACCACCCCCCAGGTGGAAGGCCGGGAAGGTGCCTCTCCCAAAAGAACTGGACACTCTAAACCCCTCCCCCAACAGCTTCCAACCCACTGGGAGGCAGGGAAGGTTCCTCTTCCAGGGGAACTGGACGTTCCAAACCCCCTCCCCAGCTTCCAGCCCCTCTTTGGAGACAGGGAATGTGCGTCTTCAAGGGGAACTGGACACTCCAACCACCCCCAACAGCATCCAACCTCCCCCCAGCTTCCAACCCCTGTTGGGAGGCATGGAATGTGGCTTCTTCAGGGGAACTGGACAATGTGAGCCCCCCCCCAGCAAATCCAGCCCCTTTTTCCAGGAGGAAAGGGGAATTCCAGTGTCGCAGGTGGGGCTGGACCTGCCGCAGCCGCTCCATGTCCCGGTACGGGAGCTGCTGCACCCTCAGGCTCTGCTGGGACATTCTCCATCGGATTTTTCGGATTTCTTGGACTTCCAGAAGCAGTGCTTGGATTCCTGGAGGGAACAGGGACCAAAAATGGTGAACAAGAACTGAGAACATCCCAACAATCAGATAATTTAGTTCAAAATTCTGGAGTTACAGGGTGGTGGGGTTGGGAGGGAGCTCTGGAGATCACCCAGAGCCACCCCCAGCAGAGCAGGGTCACCTCCAGCAGGACCCACAGGATCCAGCAAGAAAACATCCCTGTGGTGAGGAAAGGCTGAGGCACCTGGGGCAGTTCAGCTGCAGAGGAGCAGAATGAGGGGGTGTCTCGTCAGGACCTCCAGGGGGTCAGGAGGGTGGGACCAGGCTCTTCTCAGCAGTGCCCAGGGACAAGGGGCAATGGGATAACCTGGAGCACGGGAGGTTCCAGCTGAGCATGAGCAGGAACCTGTTGCTGTGAGGGTGGCAGAGCCCTGGGCCAGGCTGCCCAGAGAGGTGGTGGATTCTCCTTCTCTGGAGACATCCCAGCCCCACCTGGATCCTGTGGGTCCTGCTGGAGGTGACCCTGCTCTGCTGGGGGTGGATCTGGGCAGTCTCCATCCCAACACTCCCCATTCCCCTAATGTGTTTATCCCCTGGATGTCCCCCATTCCCCAGCACCCACCTCTGCTGAAGGTGGTGTGCAGCAGGTAGAGGCGAGGGCAGCTCCTCTGCAGGAACCTCTCGTAGGTCCTGGGAAAGGTCTTGGCTCTGGAGGCCAAGGCAGCCAAGAGGGCCCTGGGCCCGGCCCGGCCCGAGTGGTAGCAAACAGGTACCCTGCAGGACCCCCCCTCCCGTCCCACGTTAGTCCTGGGGGAAAATCTCCAGGTAAAGCAGAGGGACAGGTTGGAGTGAGAGGTGAGGCTGAGTTGTGGGACTGCCCAGGGACGGATGGGGAGATGGGGACCCCCTCAAAGGAGGGGATGAGTACCCCACCGCCATGGGAACCCCCCCTACTCCCTGGGAACCCCCCCTACTCCCTAGGAACCCCTCCCTAAGTCCCCAGGGATGGGTTGAGGGCCCTCCACCACCACCACGGGAACCCTCTCCACACCATAGGGACCCCCTAGGGTCCCCGGAAGGCGGCGAGATCAGGACGCCCCGTCCACAATGGGAAGCCCCCCAAGAGGGGCAGAGGGCGGGTGCGCCTGGGGGTTTGATGCTGGGGGGGGATCAGGAGCAGGGCCCGAGGGTCTTGGGGGCTCCCCGAGAGCTAGGGGGGCACTGGGAGATTCGGGGAGCACTACAGGTGCCCGGGGGGCTCTGGGCGGCCCCGGGGGAG